CCTCCCGGGCACCACCACCCCCTCCCTCTCCACCACCCACCCAGCCCCCGCCACAACCCCCTTCACCCACCCCGGCCCCACCACCATCTGAATATTCTCATCGCTCCCCCCCCTCCTCTGCGCCTCCAACCCCGCCCTCGCCAACGCAGCCAGCACATGCGCGGCGGCGGCCGGCTCCGTGGCATGCAGCGCCCACTCAGCCAGACACACACGCGCGACGCGCCCGCGCAGCGCGGCGAGGATCTCGCCCAGCGTCTCCGGGGACCGAAAATACCAGATGCAGTGCGCCAGCACGGCCACGTCCCATGTTACGTGGGGGTGGGCGGCCAGGAAGGTGAGCGGGTCCGCGCGGTGGAAGGTGAGCAGTCCGCGGAGGGGGCCCGTGGAGAGGTGGGCTTGGGCTTGGGCGAGTGTGAAGGGCGCGCCGTAGTCGGGGGCGCCGGGGTCGATGGCGGTGATGTGCCCGTTGGGGGTTGTGGGGGGGTTTGAGGAGGATACGGCTTCGGCGAGGGCCTGCGTGCAGGTGCCTTGGCCGCAGCCGAGCTCGAGGACGCGGGTGCCGGGCCCGATGGCGGGGGCCCAGGCGTTGATGAGGTCGATGCGGTGGACGGCTTGGCTGTGTTCGATGGCTAGGGAGATTGGCGAGGGGTTGGGGCCGCGGATGGCGTAGGAGGCGATTTTGTCGGCGGATAGGGGGAGCGGCATTGTGGATGGTGGTTGATGATAGGTAAGGTATGCGGATTCTTGGGTATTTTATTTGTGCTTTTTAAGTGGAGGTTGAAAATTGGAAAGGGGGTGGTAGAGCACAGGTGCCATGCCGGGCCGAACCTGAAAGGCTGGGTTGTAAGTGTTATAGCAAGTGAGCTCTCCAGTGACTCATCCAGCCTATATCGACCTGCTGTTCTAGGACAAGAACGTGGGTACATACCCCGCTTACCTCGGTCTCCCCTCGCCATAAGCTTGGAGCTCAAGTTGCTCAACTGCACCTTACGACCCCGACACCACCATATGACCCAGACGCAGCCATTGCAGCGCGACGCATGATAAACCCACGAGCTATTTCAGCCTAGTGAATGTCAACGGCGCACATAATACTCGGACTTTTCTCCATGACGCCCATGAACTTTATGCCATTAACGATCGATATTTATGTCAGTCCTTCCAAGGCGAACTAATCGCTGAAGTGTGAATTTACATCTATAAGTAATTATTCTATCTGCGTTGCTAAACCCAAAAAACCCCTGTGTAGTTAGTTCACTTGTGTGGTTCACTCTTTCTTGCCGCCCATACCCTCCAGGATGGCAGATGCAGCGACCGAAACGCCTGGGGTCTCGTCGCACAATGCCGCCAACTGCCGAACCTTTCCTCTCAATTGCTCCGCCTTTGGCCCTATCACCGCGTCGATGACGATCGGGGCGAGCTCTTGTGCCTTGCTGCGCGGCATGGCCTGCTTGTTGCCCCAGAGGCCAATACCCAGATATTCAGCCCTGGAAGCAAAGTCATAGCAGTCAAGCCAGCCGGGAAGGACAACCTGGGGGACACCACAGCTGCAATAAGTTAGCTAACTTCCACCCACAACCGTTGCAACAAGTAAACTTACGTCAAAGCATCATGGAACGAGTTTGCTCCTCCGTGGTTGATCGACAAGACCACACTCTTGACCTGCAAAATGGCCGACGGCTGGGGCTTCACCCAATCGACAATCCGCACCCGATCCGCCTCGATCTCATTCTTCAGAGCCTCGTAGACCTTCGTTCCCGGCCCGGTCTCGTACGGCGCAGCACCGCCCAGGACCGTCCTCTTCAGCTTCCACAGCACCTGCACCTTCCCACGCACCCCACCCACATCCCCCTTCTCGCCCTCCGCCGCCTCCAACAACCGCAAAATCACCTCCGCCATCTCCAACGCCTCCCACTCCTCCATATTCCGATGCGTCCCCAAGCACACAAACACCGTCGGCCCCCGCCGCAACCACGCATCCAACTCCCCATCCACCTCCGTCACCGGCGGCACGGGCCGTATCACCGGCCCACAGGGCGTCAAATGCTTAGGGACGACGGCGAGCGGGAACTCGATCTCGGGCCGGTTGGAGACGAGAATCTTGCGGTCTTTAGGCGGGCGCATCATCAGGTGCTGGAAGGTGACGAGGTCGGCGCCGACCGCCTTCTTGACGTGCGCCGCCACGGCCTTGGTCCGCCGGTCGGTCACCGCGTAGTAGATCTGCGTGAGCGAGTAGAAGATGTTGGCGGGGATGGAGGTTGCGGGGACGGGGAAGGGGAAGGCCGAGCCCATTCTGTGTGTGGGGGGAGGCGTGGGTTAGTAAAGGGGGGGTGGGGGGGGGATTTGGAAATGGCGGAGGGGGGGTGAGGTTGGCTTACACAGGAAACTTCCAGAACATGGCGCCCCGCGGTTGGAGGGCGACGGCAAAGTCCTTGAGCGTGTTGGGCGAGAAGACGATGTAGTCCATGTTGAGGTGCTGGCAAGCGGTGGTGCCTGGAGCAAAGAGAGAATCCAGGACGATCTGGTCGGGCTGGACCTCGTCCACAATCCGCAAAAAGCTCTTGTAGATGGCCACAAACTCGGGTCCGTCCCAGGGCAACAACAGGCTCATGAACTTGCTCGACATCTCGAGGATGGATGAAAAGCTTGGGCGTTTCTCCAAAGTATCTTCTAGCTTGTTATTCCCTTCATGGATAGCGATAGCTTTCATGAATGCTGGGCCGTCCAGCAGGTGGAGCTTCCATGGTTGTGCGCCTGGCGTGGATTTCACCGAGTACTCCGAGGCAGACGAAACATCCTTGGATATCTCGTTGAACGAAACGAAGTGGATCCGGACCTCGGGGTCCATGGCCTGGAGGGCGTGGCCCACGGCGAGGAAGACATTGGCTTGTCCGTATTCGGCGTTGACCGCCAACAGAACCTTCTTCATGGCGGCGACTGGGGAGCGAAGTAACTTCTTAACGGGCTTCGATTCGGAACAACGGCGTAACGTAGTTTTACTTTTTTATAATCCTGACGGGGAGAACCTAAGGAGAACCGTTCGTCTCTCCCCTAAAAGCTGACACAGTCCATTCTTATGTTGTGGATTTTAGGTTCCCACCATCCCATGTCCAAACCACCTTAGGGATGCAACATCGGACTTGAGGAATACTGCCGAGAGGGTCGGCCATGACCAAGCCCTGTAACCATTCGATGCTGACGCCGAGCGGGCCATTGATAACACTCTCCAACCCCCGGCGGCTGTGGGAGGCGCTAGCTGAGTGAGCAACGAACGACAGGTCGCTTCATGAAGCTGAATTGGACTTCGGAATTGGGGGCGGAAACGACAGAACGGTCTGGAAAAGTTTCCAGGCAGACAACGATTGGGTTGCAATCAATCTCCCGTGAAGTGGGCATGACGTGAGATGGGTAGGATTGGAACGGCTGGACGCGGACAGGGGGCACAATCGTCGTCAAGGGGCCTTGGCGGATGGGATTCGTAAGACCTGGAAATTGCGTCTATGGAAGGGCCAAGCGCGTCCGAATACGCGAAATAAACAATACAATTGATCACGGTCCGCGGAGCCGAGCACGAGGGACCCCGGGCATATCCACGTGGTATGTGATACACAACATATGTCGAGGAAACAAACAGGGTTACACTAGGGGCCGAGGCCTCTGTATCCGTATTCGCATTCCACCTTCAAGAACCGACTCAGACCTCAACCACCAATTTCTCGCCGCTCACCCCTTTCCTCAACACATCCAGCGCCGTCTGCAAGCCACCCAGTCCGCCGTCAATAACCCTAACGGGGCCCGGGACAACCTCCCCCTTCTCCAGCCACCCAGTCAACAACCTGTTAAACACCATCTCAGACAGATCCTTCCTCGCGGACCAGATCCTGAACCCTGCCACCCACGCCGCCTCAACATCCGCCGGTTTCGCCACATGCTCCGGCCACTGCAACAAATGGGCCACCTTCTTAGGGCCGTCAAACTTAGCTAGGAAATCAACCACCAACGGAAGGGTATCATCCGTCGAGATGGAATCCACCGCCAGCGCCACATTCACACCGGCCTCCTTCGCGGCCGCCACCAAGTCCTCCACCGCCGTCGGCGAGCGATAATCCACCACGGCCGTGGCGCCCAGCGCGCGCACACGGGCATGGTGCTGCGGGCTCGCCGTGGCGAACACCTTGAGCCCGGCGAGACGCGCCAGCTGCACGGTGCCGGTGCCCATGGACGAGGCGGCGCCCCAGACCAAAATGCCCGTGTTGGTGGGCGGCTTGGCGGCGCTCTCTGGGGCGGGCAGGCCGAGGACGTCGAACAGGGCGAGGGCAGGGGTGCTGGTGGAGGTGACGGCGGCGGCGGCGTCCCGGAAGGCGAGGGCGTCGGGCAGCTTGGCGGCGATGGAGGCCGGCACCACCGTGTAGGTCTGGTAGGCGGCGTGGTCGGGGTTGCCTGTGCCCATGCCGGGGCCCGCGGCGAGGACGCGGTCGCCGGGCTGGAAGGCAGTTACGTTGGAGCCGACCGCGGTGACGATGCCGGAGACGTCGGAGCCAATGATGGCCGGGTAGGTGGGGAGGGCGATGTTGAGGTCGATGCGCTTCCAGTCGATGGGGTTGAGGGCGATGGCGTGGTTGCGGACGACGAGCTCATCGGGGCCGGGAGTGGGGATGGGGCGCTCTTCGATGACCAGCTTGGCGCCGGGGGAGGGTAGAACGGCCGCGAGGTTGGCAGTGGGTTGAGACATGGTGAAAAGGTTAGTTGATAATGAATGGTTGGCGTGTTATGTGAATCAGCAGAATATTTGGTACCGAAGTGACAGCTACGAAGTCAGGTTGGTGTTTGATTTGCAGCGATGCTGAGTGTTGAGATGATCTGGGATGAACTTGTCAAACCAAGAACACATTGATTCCTTATATACATCCATTGCGTTGAAGCACGCCATGACTTCAACATTGGATACAGTAGGTAGCATGGAGCATTACAAAGCCGAGTTGCAGCCCTACAGGTGGGTGGTCCACGAGGAGAGGGCACTGGCTGAAAATGCCGATGCGGATCTTCAATGGCCGTAACACCGGTCCGACCCCCATTTTTTCACGGAATCGGCTGTAACACTCGCCGTGCTGACAGCTTCTCCCTTCCTCTGGTTGGTTGAGAGCAAGGGGCCCGACCAAAATTTGTCAGCTGCTTTTCAATCGCACCAGCAAAACAACAACACAAGAAATACCTCTGTTCTATTCTTGCCCAGTGACGGAGAACAGACGGCCCTCCTTGAGTCCTGCTGAGTAAAGCTCTGACGGACGCCGTGACGCGTCCGAGAGAACAGCAAGCAACATGATACGGACGCATTCTTCCGACACGGCGGCCATGCTCCGATCACCGACTGACAAGGGCCGGCCCCTAACCCCTCGTCCCTCATCCGTATACAGACAACATCTGGTATGAGCTCATCTGCACCATCTCGGATGTGAGCTCCGTTCCACAAAAGGCGGCATGCTCATCTAATGACGGTCGCCGCATGAGTCTGCCGGCCAAGAGATAGTTGACAATAGGACTCGAAGATGTTAAGACCCAACTTGACGGTATCGGACCTTGGGAAGCAATGTTAGGTACAGAGAGTTGTACTAGAGCCATACGATGCAGGGCACTTTGTCCTCTCGGCACCAGCTGGGAGGGGCAGAATTAATATATTATTTGCTATTTTCATCCCTTGGTGTTACATCCAAGTCGATAAGCTTGCAGGACCATACCTACCCACGCAAAGTCATGTCTTAGCCCATCTCTTTGGCCACCAGTTTATTTTCTCGCCATTCTCTTGTTTGTTGCCATGTTTTAGTACTCGTGGATTCCCCTCAAGAAGACCGGAACTATGTTTCCCATACTGCCTCTTGACCTCCTGCTCGCGGCGGGCACCCGTCTGGCGTCTGCTACAACCCTCCCCCAACCCGATAACATCACCATCGCCTCGATTAACGTGGAAGGGACTGGCTGCCCCCAAGGCACCATTTCGACAGCTGTCAGCGCCGATCGAACAACCATAACATTTGGATTTGACGACTTTCATCCGTATATCGGCCCCGGCATATCGCACGCGGACAAAACCAAAACATGCAACATGACGCTCACGCTCAGCCATCCCCTGGGATACAATTTTGGGATTCTGGACACAGTCTACCACGGATTTGCACGCTTGGACGCCAACTTGACTGCAACACTTTGGTCGTCTTATACCATAGCCCGCGATGGAGCAGGAAACGACACGCTCCAAACGAAAGCAAACATCGCTGGGGAGCTGGTTGGGGTCTTTACACGCACCGAAGCCGTCACCGAGGAGTCGGAGCTTGCCTCGAGGTGCGGCAGAGACAAAAGCCAATTGCAAGTTACCACACGGGCGACCTTAACCTCCAGCTCCTCGTCGACCTCGGGCGGCTGGGATGAGGAGCCTCCATTTTCCCTTATGGTCCAGCAAATTCGTCTCAGGTGGTCGACTTGCAAGGAGTGAGCTGGCATTGGAAAGGTTACCCGTTACAAAGTAGGCTGTCATGGGGAACTTGACGATTTGATGTTTTTGAAATAAGATTTGATTGTTCTAGTTGATATACTGCTGTCATATCCCAGACCATGTGATGACACTAACAGCCTCCACCTGCCCTACTCTACCCCTATTCATCCCAACTCGCGACCTCCGGCACAAGCTCTGTTCCACCCAAAGTTATCATCATGCCTATGCCTTCTTTCCTGCAGCCAGAGTTAAAGCCAGTAGTGCAGTGGTTATAACCGCAACTTATGGGAGCCATCGGGACACCACACTGTGGATCGTGCAAAGATAAGCCGCTCCTGGTTTCAACTCTGGTTTTTGCCATTTTATGAGATTTTTATGCAAACTTATCTGAAATTTCGAATCTTTCTTCGCCTGCCCCGCCACACCCAAGCACCAACGACGCCCGTTGAATAGATGACGAGGCTCTACCTGTCTCGACTTCTCTTATGCTCCCCATGTACAGCTTGGGTTCCTAAAACCATCATTCCGATTGCTACCTTTGCCCTCATCCGTCCTCAAACCCAAGTGGAAGAAGTGGAATGCTCGAGGTCTTGAGCCTGGTCTGCTTTTGCCAACCTGTATCCTAGTTTTTCCCCCTCTTTACCACCCCGACACCCGAACCGGGGGTTCCCTCTACGATAGCGCCCAGTGACAGGGTATCACAGTGCCCGTGCTCACCCAACTCAAGAGTCTCGCGAATCAAAACAGACCCGACTTTGCAGTGGGAAGGGTTTGCCACCGAGTCAGCGCAGCTCTGGCTCAACAGCAGTATTTTCGGAGCTCAGTGCTACACCGCCGACGTTCTCGGTCTGTATCGTCAGATTAGGGTTGACTTGCGATCGGTCCTCAAGGATAACTTGAAGGCGCTCCATGTGAGCAGTAGGGAGAACTACAGAATGAGGGCCGCTTGTGGACGTAACCTGCACCCAGGCCTCTTTCCCGGTGGGCACTGGAAACAAACTCGTTCTACCCGGGGCTCCCGGAGGTCGACCCAAGCCACATACAACAAGGCCCGCTGTGCTCCGGAACGTCCTCCACCTGCCTACAACAATGGCACTTCTGGATAGGCCGGTTCGAAGATCCGACAGAGGGAAAGTCCGGTTGGAGCGATCAGATTCGCAAGAGTGTGCTCGAAACAGCCGAGACCAGCAACCTCAAACTTTGCACCGTTCCAACCCCATTTTGGCATAATGTGAACACTGATTCACAAATTGGAACCAGGTACCACTCTCCTAATTTGCTTGTCCGACAGTGTGTGCGTCTGCGTTTCGATGTCCTAATTATATTATGACTCTTGTCTGTCGGGTACAGGTTGCGGAAAGCCGGAAAAGGCGGGACCTCAGATTAAACACCCACCAAGAAAAAGACGTCAGCCCTGCGTATGACAGAAAGTGGTGCCTTGCACGGTCAAAAGTTGAAAACTGTTGGATCTGAGTCGGGGTCGCCGTTCGATCTGGAACATCCAAACGTGTCACTGGGAGCCATGTGCCCATCCCTCAGAATGCGGAACCAGTAAAATAAAAGCAGAAAACAGTCAGTGAATGAAGTTAACCATTGATAAGCTTTAACTGATTCCAGATGACCGCCTGGGATTTTGCCGGTCGTCCCTTCCCAACGCCTTGATTGCATTGTGCAACATCAGATGACAGCCTTAACTGTGGGGGTTCTGCCTTGAGCCAACGACAGGGGGAGGAAGGCGCTACGACCCCAGGGCGCGGATCTGCCTAGCCCTGCCACCACCAGGGTCCCGAAAGGACAGGGCCGCCATGGAGAGTGAGTCACAGGGCTGAACACACCAATCAGGCACTGTCTCAGCCCCCCAATACGGCGATTGAGGCCTTGCCCCATGAACCTGGCCGACGGGGGCCGCGCTTCGTGACTCTAATATTGTCACAGATGAGGCCAATAAGCGGCCCGAAAGGTTGACACAATGCGCCCTATTGTATAAGACAATGAAACTCTCTCCCATGTTCTGGCATGTTCCCCTCGTTTCGGTCAGACACTTTTGACGATTTGTTCGCATCACCGGCGAAGTCCTCAACGCCATTTGCAGGCATTAGCGGCAGGCACACAGTGCTTTCATTACAGTCACCGAATTTGACCGAAGAAACAAACCCGAAAAAGCCAGGTTTACAACTTTGTGACAAGAATACAAAAGCCCACCCATCATGGGCCTCCCCCTCCGAAATTCCACCTCCTTTATGAATCCCCCCTCCGGGGGCCCGTCCCTTGGCGGACCCTCCACCACCTCCGAGTCCGAGTCCGATGCGGACCCCTCGGAGCCGTTAAGTTACCATCACACGGGGAGCCGCCGCGCCAACCGCCCTAGTCGATTCCATCACCTTGCCACCCTCCATCACAGTTCCAAAGGGTGCTTGGAATTGAGTCCGCGCTTCCAGTCCCTGCTCGACCACGACGACCACAACACCAACGCCAACAACACGCCCATCACCACCCGTCAACCCCTCCACCTCCACCGCCACCACACCAACCAACGTCGCAGACTCCACCGCCACCGCATCCGCCAAGCCCAGCAATCCTCCCAAGAGCCGCGCGGTTCCTGGCTTTCCGACGCCGCCGAGGGCTACTCAATAGCTCGGTCCAGCCTCCAGCTGCCAGGCGAGGGCGGCACCACCACCACCAGCAACAGCAGCCACAACACCGGCAGGGGAGGCGGCAGGTCGATCAACCGGAGCAGGAGTAGCGGGGATGGGAGTCAGGGCAGCAGCGCGGGTTCAGAGCGACGTCCGCCATCACTGGAACGACAGGACGCGTTTCGCGACGAGAAGACAACCAAGAAGCGGCGGCGGGGACGGCAGCACCAACGGGGATGGGAGGGCGAAGAAGAGGCGGGGCAGGACACCAACCTAGGGGACGAGCAGGCCGAGGTGGCGGAACTGTACCGCCTGGGCCTGCTGTACGACGACGAGCATGAGCGTGGCGCGGGCTTCTCGCTGGACGGCATCGTCCGGGATGAGCCCGTCTACTCGCTGCGGGTGCGGCCTGCGAAGCGGAGTAGGCGGGCGGAGAGGAGATGGAATGGTGGTCACAGTGGGGTGCTTTCTCTGTCGGTGGTGGATTTGGCGTTCTCGGCGTTTGGCGCGGACGAGGCGTTGGCGGGATGGATGCTTTCTGGTCCGGGTTCGGGTTCGGGTTCTGCTTTGTCGGGTGCGCCGGCGCGGGAGGTGCATCGGTTCGGGACGGAGACTGCGCATGATACCCCTGGGTTGACGGTTGTTTACGAGCTGGCTGATGACGCCGTTTCCGCCATGTCGGTGGATGATGATCTGCTTGATTCGATTTCTGTTTCGGAGATTTCTTTTTGTGGGGGGGAGGAGGACGAGATGGCCTGGGCCATGCTCGATGGGAATGCAATGCCGGCGACGATGGACTTGGAGGCGGATGAGGAAGTCGACCCCTGGGTTGTGCTGGGCCAGGACGGCTCGTAGCAGGTCCGCCACAGAGATCCCTGACTGCCCTGGATTTCGGCCGGCTATGCAGCTGCGCGCTGCGATCGGACTGGCCCTCTAGACGGCCTAGCACACGAGACGGATGGACGACGGGGGGTTATCCGGAGAGGGAGTCAAGCAGTGTGCTCGTGGCCATGGCCACTTGAGCTCGCTTGTTCAAGGATTGCGGGACGGTTGTGCCAACATTTGTTCCACCATCCACGAAGGGCGGCGATGCATTGCTAGGGGTTTTCTTTTCTTTTCCATGTCTAGGCGATTTCTCACTTCCACGATGTTACGAAATACACTTGCTTGAATCACGAAATCGATAACTTTATATCCACGGTATGTTTTGATCATCTTTTGTAGTAGTAATAAAATGGTCTGCTACTCTTTCGCTCATCCGAATGCCCTAACCGCGAAGCGAGTTTCGTTTTCCTCAATGGGTGATTCCACATACTTCTTGGTGGAAGGGAACTAAGAGCTGCAAAACCTGCGCCCTTGGGCTTTAACAGGCTCAGGCTACATGAAGCGGGGTGCCGATGTGTCAGCAGCCTGCAGAAAGCTCCGAAGGCCGACGGCTTCTCACGGCTTCTCCGAGAAGCACATTGCGGGTATAAATCTTGTCGTTGACTACAGACAACAAAGGGCGGTCTTCCTCGACTCATATTACAATTCGCTCTCAACCCAAACCACCTCACTACACTCAATCTAAACCAGAATCAACATCCCCGACTCTCACCATGACCACCCCCTCTATCACCGCCCTCGCGGCCCAAGCCAAGACCTTCAAAGCCCTCCACATCCCCGGCACCCCCCTCCTCCTCGCCAACGTGTACGATGCAACCTCAGCCCGCATTGTCGGCTCCCTACCCGGATGCCGCGCTCTAGCATCGGCAAGCTACGCCCTCGCAAAGACCATCGGGATCGAAGACAGCGAGCTCACGCTGGAGCAGAACCTTAGACTGCTCAAGCCCATCGCCGCGGTGGCGCACGAGCTGAACCTGCCCTTCACCATCGACATCCAGGACGGCTACGGCGACCAGCTGGAGGAGGTCATTCGCCGCGTCATCACCGAGCTGGGCGCCGTGGGCGTCAACCTGGAGGACTCGTACCACGACACCGAGAAGATCATGGACGAGACCGAGGCGCTTGACCGGGTTCAGCGGGCTCTCAAGGTTGCGGCGGAGGTAGGTGTGCCGGACTTTGTGGTTAACGCCAGGTCGGATACCTTCCTCATGGGCGGGGAGCTCGATGTGTCGATCCAAAGGGGGAAGAAGTTCTTGGAGGTGGGAGCGACTACGATCTATGTCTTTTGGCCACGGGACAAGGAGATGATCGAAGCAGATGTGAAGCGGGTGATTGACGAGTTGGATGGGAGAACCAACATTCAGCCGCGCAAGGTCTCTCCGGTGCAGAGCAAGGCGTTGACCAGCGCTGACCTTGCCAAACTCGGCACGGCGAGAGTCAGCGTTGGGCCGCAATTGTATCTTGCCGCGGCGGCGACACTCACGGCGGCGGCCAACGAGGTGTTTGATGCATAATACGAAAAGGGGGTAGATGGGTAAGGAGTAATTACGTGTGGTGTGTTCAGAAGTAGAGTCATAATATTTCTCCAATCAAATCACTTCATAAATGAGTCAACTCACAACACCCACGTGCCTTCGAGGCATCCCACAACAAGCGGGTATGGAGCAACCACGCCACTCAGCAGAGTTGCGGATACGACTCGCTGTATCTGGAGAACCGGAAAACAAAAAGGGGGCCAGCCAGGGTTCGAACCTGGGACCACTTGCAGAGAGGAATGTTATCCCAAAGCAAGTATGCTAACCACTGCACCACAGGCCCGAGTTGCTGCAAGGATTTGGAAATGTTGTACTAAGTAGCATCTTTATCGTTGATAGGAGTGACCGTGCCCGCGCGGAGCGGGCACGCCAAAGGAGCCTGGAGGAACTTGCCGGCTGCAGGTAGGCCCCATAGCGGAGTCAACGATGTAATTGTCTTTTTTTTTCATTTCATGATGGTTATTGACGAATGCTGGCAAAGTAAGGAAAGGTGGTTTCTCCAGTCAGACTAGCGTCTAATCGTACAGTCGCGCCCTCTTTTTTTCCTGCTGTAGACCTCTTGCTTCTGATTGACTCGGGAGAGGGTTATCGCCCGTTTGGCGGGATCCCAATGGTCCTGTTCTTCGGGGACTTCTTCCAGTTCGACCCCGTCCTGCAGACCAGCCTCCTCTTGCCGGCGCCCAGGGACCGTGGCGGACAGAGACCGGAAAGCTTGGCGAAGCATCTCGCAGCGCACAGGCTGTTCCTCCAGTTCACAACCGTTGTCATCCTCCAGGAGCAGGTCCGCGCGGCTGGTTGCCCAAGGCTTCGGGGCTTCATCGGGCGCCTGCGCAACGGCGAGCAGACCGAGCTGGACTTCCAGCGACTCAGTCAACGCCTTTATACACCGTCGTGCAAGGCGTCCTTCGTAGACGGTCTGAGAGCCATCACGCCTCTGAACCAAGACCGGTGGGACCTGAACATGGCGGCCGTCGTCCAGTGGGCTCGTGCCCACGGCAAGCACATCTCAGTCTTTGCGGCCAAGCACGATACTGAGTCGGGGAAGCGATTGAGTGCGGGGGACCTATGCCACGTGCTCCGCTACGGAGACGACTCGCAGCTGCCGACCCCCGGCCTGTTCTTCTACGCGCAAGGCATGCCGGTCGTGGTGACTCGCAACCAGTTTGTCGGGCTGAAGGTGGTCAACGGGGCGCCTTTCAAGGCCGTCGACATCTTTCCCGACCTCGCCGCCGGCACCATCGCGCTGGCCAGCAATGTGACTCTTCATCTTGGACCGCCGGTGGCCGTCCTCCTTCAGTCAGACGATAGCGCGGGCCTCGCCATGCCCGGGTTCCCCAATGGCACCATCCTGATCAAGAGCAAGACGGTCGCCATCCCGAGCCAAATGCGGGGCAAAGAAGGCAGATGGAGGGGCAAGCCGGGCTTTCGGTGGGTTACCCACAGAACTGGACCTCTTTGCACCCCGACCTTCGCTATGACAGATCAGAAGAGCCAGGGCAAGCAGTTCTCGGACGTGCTCGTCAACCTCAAAGGCGTCCACTCCAGCGGTACGGCGACTCGACCCAGCTTCATGAGCTTGTACGTGCAGCTGTCGAGGGCGCAGAGTTGGGACGGGCTGCATCTGTTTCGGAAACCGGCGCGTGGCGACTTTATCGAGCCCAAGAATGTGCTCGACAAAGACATGAGGGACGCCATCCTCAAGCTGGAACGACGGGGCGAGGAGACCAGACGGCGGTTCGAGCAAGACCACAGGTCTGAGCCATGGCTTCAAGAATGGGCTGCCATGCCTGAATCTGACCAGGGTACTGAAACCGATGACGTAGAGGACGCGGCGCTCTGGCGAGACCCTGGGGTTTCCGAGCTCAGATCGTAGCACAGCTCTCCACCGTTGCTTTGTTTTGGAGCTCTTTCCCAGCGAAATAAGCTGCTTCAATTAATATTTTTATTTTCCTTCTCACCTTGTTGGCCTGCAATCTGCATCCTTTCGTGGTCGTCGGCGAACCTGCCCGGGGGTACGCCATCTCATTGGCCCTTATAAAGCGGGGCCAGCCCCACAGCCGACAAACCCCAACAGACCGTCCGTGCACCACCACTGCCAAGCCCAACTTCGAGACGCTCATCGTCAGAGGCAAGTTCCTCCGGGCAAAGCAACATGGCTGCTTCCACAATCGTTAGGATAATGACAGTAAATCTTCACAGTTTACAGGGAGAAATGGCAGGGCTTTTTTTGATGGGGCGTTTTATGGGGCGGAAGTGGTCCGTACTTGGAGCATACCATGGTTTTTCTCGGAAAAGGAACCTTTCGGAAGTACTCGTTCCTCGTACGTTCCTCCAGGCACAACCTAAGGTACTAGTACCCACCAGCGCGAGGTACTACCTGCTCTTGTACAGTGCATCACACCCTATAGCTTTAGCCTCTAGTGCTGGGGTGCTACCTGTATGGACTAACCCAAGCCTACGGCAGTTAGCTCCGGGGCCACCCACCTCCACTCGCAAAGGATGTATTGCCTAGGTACTTGCAAATTGAGGTCTTTATAACCGATCACAGCGTTTTCAACAATTGTTTTTACACGATTCCATATTCATCGTCAACCGCCTTACATTGTGCAACATCCTAGCCCCACAGCGAGTCCCCTCCGCCAACCGATCAGCACTGCTCCAGCGCAGTCCCAGCCTTCAACTCAGCCAGCATATCGTCGCTTGCCTTCTGCGAGATCATGAACGTCGACACCGCCGGGAAGACACCCGGGATCCGCGCAAAGGCACTCGCGTCGATGACCCTCAACCCACTAACCCCCCGAACCCGGAACTTAGAATCCAGCACCGCCATCGGATCATCATCCGCGCCAATCTTGTTCGTCGACGTCGGGTGGTGTCCAAAGGTCTGTTTATGAATCCAGTCCTCGTCCTCCTTACCACAGTACCCGTTCGCATCGGGCCCGGCAGCGCACGGCGGCTCAACCGCCGTGATGCCCACACGCTTGTACACAGTCCGGATCCAAGCCACCGTGTCCTTCATCGCCTCGAGATCATACTCGGCACCCGCAGCGTAGTGGTTGAAGTTGATCTCCGGCGTGTCCATGGGGTCAGCGCTGCGCAGCTTCACCCAGCCCTGGTTGTTGACGCTCGACCCCTTCACCATGCTCACGCCGTAGGCCTGGCGCGGGTCAGCCGGCACGCGCACCGGGTTATCAGGCCAGAAACCACGGAACAGGAACCCCTGCCCGCCCATCAGGAACATATCCCGCTCGCCATGCGCCGGGTGCCGCGTCTTGTACATGGCGACGCCCGCCATACCACTACCGGCGCTGCCGCTGCCCACGATGGGCATCTCCTGGTTGTCCATAAGATTGCGCCCGACGCCGGGCAGGTCCTTGACGACGGGGATGTCGAACTGGGCCAGCTCGGTGGCGTTGCCGACGCCACTGAGCAGCAGTAGCTGCGGCGAGTTGAAGGCGCCGCCCGAGACGATGACCTCGCGGCGGGCGATGGCCGTGCGCTTGACCCCCGCCGCGTTGGCCGCGCGCCGGTTGTCGGCCTTGTACAGCGACTTGCCGAAGAGGAACTCGACGCCCGTGGCGCGCTGTGTGGCGCCGTCGCCGCCGGCGCACTTGGAGCCCATGGTGTCGAAGAGCACCTTGGTGGCGAGCGAGGTGAGCGAGACGGTCAGGTTGGCGCCCGCCTGCACGGCCTCCTGCACGTAGTCGCGCGAGCTGTAACGGTTGCCGTTGGCGTATTGGTGGTTGACGAGCCCGTAGATGCTCGAGGTCTGGTCGCGCGCCGATGTCAGCTCGTTGGGGTCTCGGATTAGCAGGTTGGGCATGGACATGGTCGAGTTCCAGTCCTTGGCGAAGGCGCCCATGACGCTGTTGCCTTGGAGGGGACCGGTTTGTTTGGACTGCTGCATCGCCCCCATTTGGGTTTGGAAGTACCCGTTGAAGCCGTGGTTGGCTGTGCCCGCGGCGGCGTAGTTGTTCTTTTCGATCTTGGTGAAGATCTTGTGCATGTTCTCAGCCCTGGAAAAGTTAGTATTGGGGTGCGGTTTCGGCATGGCAGAGAACGTACCTCCAGCTGTCGTCTCCAGTCACCTCAGCGTGGTAGTTCCAGTCGCTCTCGCTCGGTAGCCAACACACCATGGCGTTGATCATGGAAGACCCACCAAGCGTCGCACCTCGGGGGTAGTAGACGCCCAGGAGTTTGGAGCCCGCCGGCGCACCGCTCTGGCCGACCCAGTACCGACCCTCAGGGGTGAGCCATGTCAGATGACTGTACTGGTTGTCGCGAGGGTCACCCTCGGGGTAGTGCTTGACGTAAAAGTCCCAGGTCACGGTCGGCGTGTAACGCCCAAAGCCCTGGCCGGGGTTGTTGTCGCCCGCCTCGAGGAGGAGCACAGAGTGTCCTGCCTTGGCGAGGTTGACTGCCACCACAGCGCCGCCTGGGCCGCTGCCCACCACGATGTAGTCGTAGACGGCACCATCGGCAGGGGCGGTTTGTGCTGCGGTCAACGAGCTCTGCGCAAGGAGGGCCAAAGAAAGGAGGGTACCAAGGGCACCACCTCGCTCCTGGTTTTGAAATAACTTCATCTTGAAGAGAACTCTTCAGTCTTCCCTGTACACAAGGATTTATCCCCGAAAATTCTCGAGGCGATTCTACGCGCAAGTGAGTCCGCGGGAGGCCACACCTCTTTGTAGCATGCCCGCTGCCGCTCCTTTCTCCACGTGGAAGAACTTGCCTCCTCCCTGCACTCCCTTCGGCAGCTTAGAGCCGAACCAGATCCGCAAGATCTCCATACTAGGGTTGAGCAGCTTTCGTAGATTGTTGAGAGGTTTCATGCAAACCCGCCAAGCCCGACAACAACCACCGTATCACTCCCGAGAAGGAGGGTAAGTGATAACAGCAAACCGAGCGGGGAGGCGTGGAGAATTGCCGATTGGACAATAGGAGACCTTGTCGTTGCTGCGTCCCTTGACTGTCTTTGCCGGAGCAATGGCTAGCGAGCATTATGTGCGGTTCCATCGCCATGCTCGCTGAGGGCACGGTATAAACGATGTGGAAATGAGATCATGCAGAACCGGTCTTTCTCAGCCATGACAAGTTGCTGGGGGTCTGACCCGTCACATGGTGCCGCCCGGCCGCATGCAATCAACCGCTGTGGGTTCTTCTAAAGCTTATTCAACGGCTGGGATGAATAAGTGGGGAGAGTGAATTCCTTCCGGGTCTGGAGCTTTGTGCCCGTCCCAGGTTGCAGCGGCTTGGTTATTCTGGGTCTGCCACGCCGAGTTGGAGGTTGACGATCCGGTCGAAATAGCCGGACCCTCGAATAGGACTTCGAACCCCAATCCCCGGGGAATATTAGCCATGCAATGAGAGTCTTGGCTTCCGCTTTCAGCAGTCTCGGCGCAAGACATCGTGGACTGAGGAGTTGCCAAGAGAAATAGAGAACGTGTGTCGACAGAACGGGTGTGGTGCCAATACGGGCGGAGACGAGCGAGGGGGTTCTCTGAGTGGTATCGCCTGTCGTCTGACCGGCAGTTGAAGCCTAGCAATGCATCGTGAAGCCCGCTTTGTCGCCTCGAACGGTGGTGTATGGGTCGGCCTTGGTGGTGCTCGGGCGACACGTGTGTGTGCATGGACAACAGCCCTGGCGTCGTCACGGGAGGAGACTAAGAGACGGCGGAGAAACATCTTGAACCAGGGGCGAGCTCCTCAATTATATCAAGTAGAGATCATCATAACGGAAATCAGCGTCTCAATCATATCTCCGCCATCATTAATCCAACATATTTGACTACCCCTCCTCGCCGCAAGAACATTATACCGACGACAACCAAAAATACGCTAGGACAATGCTCGCTCTCACCAAAAAGAAAAAGAAACCAGCAAGCCAGACAACGCAAAAGTATCATAAGCAAAAGACTAGTCATCATCATATCAAATGAGTGCTCAAAGATTGACTAATCCTGGCTGTTCCATGTCCATCCCCAAAAGCACGCCGATTAATGAGTTCATCCATAAACGCGAGATGGCAAAAATCCCCGGTAAAGACCACCAAAATCGAAAAGCGACGCCACCAATCCAGCGTCAATCAACGTCATCTCCTCTCCCTCCTCCGCCACCCGTCTCCTCATCGTCGTCTACGACGGGGTATTCCGACCCGTCGCCCTCCAGCCGCGCCACGTACTGCTTGACAAAGCGCCCGTCGGGCGTCAGGCCAGCATACATGTGCGGCGTGACCAGCAGGGCCATGCCGTCCGACCCGCCACCTGCCCTGCCCGAGACCACCTGCGCCTTGATGAAGGCGAGCTGGCAGCCGGCGATCTGCCAGACAAACTTGGGGTTCATCTGGTAGTACATCTTGAAGGCCGCGCTCGCCTTGATGAGCTCCCACAGGCTCGTCGCGCTCGCCCCGCGCTCGGCCAGGTACGGCTGCCCCAACAGCCCAACCGTCTTAGAGTCGAGCGTGTTAGAGCCCGCGTTGCTGACCGAGGCGAGGTCGATCTCGAGCCACTTGGCGTAGACCCGCTTGACCTTCTCTGGGTACCCGAGGCTGCCGTCGCGGAAAGGGATGAGGCGCTTCCACTCGCGCTCGACGCCACAGATGGCGTTGTTTAGCCCGTCTAGGACACTCTTCAAGGAGCGGGATGTCTTGGTGAGGGTTTTGACATGCTCGTAGTACATGGCGAGGTCTGGGTCCCAAAAGTGAGCGCCCTCACCAGCCGCTTCGGCCGCGGATCCCTTTGCGGCCGCCATGGATTCGTGGAATGATTGGAGTTCGCGATCAATGGCAGGTTTCGCAATCGAGAACTTGAGGTAGTCAATGATGTGCTGCGGCTCCTCAGTCCCGCCCCAATGATCGCCCTTGTACGCTGGGTCGTCGAAAAACATCTTGCCGTAGAAGTAGTCCCGCCGCAGTCGATCCCAACTCTCCGCGTTGAAGATGATACCTTGTTTGCTCTGATCGACCAACTTGCCGACCAAGCTACTGAGAAGAACGGCAGCCCTATTATTGACACTGTTGTTGTGGTAGCATACGCGCTCCTTGTAGTTGGTGCAGATGCCCAAGTAGTTTGGCTGCATCGCAAACTGGAAGCTCTTGTTGATCATATCGTAGACCGCTTCGTAGCGAGCACGGTTCCCGGTCTGCCCGGTTCGGAGCACCAGTTCCTCGAAAGTGGTCTTGTCCTTGCCCAGGTACGCGGAAAGATCTGGCTCGTCTGGCATGTCGGCGTTGACAAAGTTCTCAACAATGTCCGGATCCCAACACACCCAAGCCATGTCTCCGTCGTAGTCGCCTCCCGACAGCTTGTCGGCCAGCGGAATGTTTCCCTTGGCGGAAAACACGATGACATCTTTGAGAGCGTGCAGCTCTGGCTTGAACACCGCCCTAACTTTTTGGACGTCGCTCACAAAGTGAGCTGGCGAGCGAGCGACAAGCACGTCGCAGTCGGCCAAGAGCGTGTATGAGATGTCGTCTGATTCATCCCGGAATTTGGATGAGAAACCGACATGGACCTCGTTCTCCTCCAAAACACCCCAAAAGTCGATCACCATGTAGATGTAAGCGGATCGGCCCACCCTGATATTGAGCTTGGTCCGCAGAATATCACACTTTTGCTTCTGTAGCTCAAACGCGAGATCCTGTAGATACTTTTGCGATTTCGGGTCAAATCCGCTATTCAGGAGGAAGTGCAAAATCTCGCTCTTGCTCTCGGGGAGCCCACCGAGGAATGGAACTTGTCCGTGCTTGACACGACTACCCCGGTCGTTTGAGTTCTCGTTGACCCACTGTCGAAATTGCGAAGGTCGCTTCAGGGCCGTCTTCTGGTTCTCGAACTGCAGCTCCAAGTTGTTGGTGAGGCGGTTCCCGATCGCATGTTTCATACGCCTCTTGTCCCTGGCCCTGTCCTCGAGGACGGGTAAGAACTGCAAGTTCAGACCGGCCGGCTTCAGCTCCGAGGCCACACTGCGGACCTCGAGTGTCCGATGGTACGGATCGGTATCGTCGCAGTTCCATTTCCGTTGTGACGGGTATGTCTCGATCCAGTCGGTATCCCCAGAATTGCCCACATCCATCAACCACATGCCCTTGGCGGAACCCATCCGCCCTTGGATGGCGGACGGGATGTCGCTGAGCCCGAGTGCATCCCGAACTTTCCTCGCCACACCGCGAGACATTCGGCCGATGCCGTCGTTCATGACTTTACCTGTGGGCGAGAGAATGTCCTCTGGGCGGTGGAGGATCTGTTCGGGTTCAAATTTGACGGCCGGAAACGTCTTGCTCAAGCCGAGCTGGATGCGTGAGAAGAGCTTTAGGTGGGGTTGTCCCTCGTTCTGATCGAGATGCAGAAGCCAGTCCAACATATGGCTAACCTTGATCTGAGCTCGTTGATGCGCTGTGTCGGAGGGGATTTCGTGCCTCGAGCGAATGGAGGTAGGGCGAAAGTTGGGACCGTTCTCAGCGAAGAAATGCACTCTCTCCTTGAATGTGGCTTTGGCGTCCGGACCGAGCTTGAAATCCTTTGGCGGCTTTCTGTACCCTGCGTCCTTGGAGTAGAAGGCTTGCCATTGTCGCCCAACTATGGTGTGTGGTTTCTGGGTGAACCATTGGATGAGCTGATCAGCGCCTCGTTCTGTATCCTTGATGATCGGAGGCGCATTCAGCGCGGTGGGCGATGGGATAAGGACCTCCAGGAAGCGATCTGGGCCGAACCGCCGCGTCAGCCTGCAGCCTTCGTCGAATCTAAGCGGTTTCATGTCAAGGAGGAATAGAGGGCCGGATTTGCTGGGGTTAAACTCCAGCGCAGCCGACATCACTACTGTATTTCCTCGGCTTTCGAACCCGGCCAGCGCGGCCGCGAACACTTCCGCGGGTGGTCGCTCGGGGAACGACTTCCCGCGGAAGGGCTCTAGCTGGCTCAAGCTCCGCCAGATTCCCAGCATGTCCGACTTGGCCCATTTGGGGTCGTACTTGACGGTGTCATCATCAATCTCGACCTTGCAATGAAGGCAGATCCTGGTGATCTCCCATGCGACGGGGAGAGGCGCGTCGCGGAGCCAGCGCGGAAACTTGGCTATACGGGGTAAGCAAACGAGCTCATATCAGTCATTCGGATTTGACTTACGCCAAATGTTTTGCAGCCTCCTCTGAATAGGGGTGAGCTTGCTGGCATCTAAGCAAGCATCACCCCGGTCCCAGGACGAGGATGACGCCGAGGCCGTATCTAGCGAGGAAGTGCTTGGAACGGACGAGTCGGGGTAAACGGTGCTCACCGCGGACGATCGCGGGGACGGTTTGGGAGGACTGTCTGTCGGGCCGCGGGACCTGGGCGCATGCGGAGTAATCCGGTTGGCAACATCGAATTGTGACGGCGACGGGCGTGTGGAAATCGGAGTGCCGAGAGGGCGCTTCGGTTCCTGCGAGTCTCTATCTACAGTGGTTTGGGTCGATTGCTGCCGCCCACGACTGCTGAAGACGCTCGATACCTTGCTGCTGTTGGAAGTATCACTGGAGCTATCCCGTTCTTCTTCTGGCCGGCGGCGCTCGGGGGTCCAATTCTTCGGGGAGGGGTGGCCAAGATAGCGGCGGGTGGGCACTTTGTCGAGCGCGTCAGTGAAGGCCGACGGCGTCGGGGATGGGCCCGGGCTGCGAAAGGATGCGAGCGCTTGGCCTCTGGTTCGCTTGGCGCCGTGATCATCGTCGCTATCGAATGATCGCTTGGAGCCGGGAGACCCAGGGGATTCAGGCCCATCTTCGCCGGATGCAAGAACCGGTCCATGGCGAGTGCCACCATTCGATTCTGGGAGAAATAAGGCAGGTCGCGCACGAGCTTTGAAGTGGTCGATCACGTTGATCAGGATCTCTTGCAGATGCCGCTTCTCTCCAGGCGATTGCGCCTTTGGCGGTGTCCTTGGCGAGGGAAGCGTACCGGGTTCGGCGTGAGGTTTGGGCTTCCACTGCAAGCTCGCTGCCTTGGCCTCGTTAAAAAAACAATGGAGCGCCTGGTCGAGCATGTCGCCTTTCTGGTAAAAGAGAAACTGGATTCCGCGACAGATGCGGTCCCACCGCGCGTACTTTTCGTTTTCGACGCCGAGCTGCTTGCGCTTCAATGGGCTGAGGGTGGGGTCGGGAATCTCGATATCGAGGTTGTAATCGCTGTTCACCTGTTGAATTACTTTCTCGACGGCGACGTTGCCCACGATGCGCTTATTACTGGGCGTCGATGGGATCGCCGGGCCCGGGGTCTTGCCCATGATTGCCGGTGGTCAACTGGTAAAGCGCAAAGCGAAGCAATATGTATTTGCAAATTCTGTGGGCCATAGGAGGTTTGCGCGAAGTTATAAGTATGAGAGTTGCGCGGTTGTAGCGGGTGGGGAGCTAGGCAATTGAGTTTCATCAAAATACCCCAGATCCAGTGGGCCTCAATGGGAGGACGCACGGGCCAGCCATCCTTTCGCGAAGCGCTTCCTTTTTGGGAGGGAAGATCAGATCGAAGGTTCAGCTCTTGGTGATTTTGACACATCGGGTAGCCAGGGGAATTGAACTTTTGGATTGTGGCGGCCTCGAAAAGTTGCAGGCCTCGCCGTTCTCGCAGGCCTCAACTGCAAGAGGCGCATCTCGCAGCATCTCCGAGTCTTGACCATCGTGTGAGCACCCACGTGGGGGGCATTTCCGTAATCGTCACATTTTCGGAAATATCGAGTTGTGCTATTGTTGATGGGACTTCTATTGTTAAAGACCGAAGTGGGGATTCCGCTCGCCTAATGACAATGGTTATGGTCGGTGGCTTTGCCGGCCGTGAAGAGTCGGAGGGGAGCGGAGGGTGAATTGAAATCCGGAATTGCAAAACACAAGTTGCTCAGTCAGCCTCGCGAGACTGTAGCATTGGGGACCCTTTTGACTTTTGTAGGTTCTGGTGGGCCCACAATGGTCCCAGCTCCAAAGTCAATCAAGCTTTGCCGCCAATCCCGAGCTTCCCCACTCCCATCTCACACCGGCTCAGGTCTGTCGGCTTCTTCTTCGACTTTTCAGACATTTCGGATTTGCATCGGTATTCAACACTCGGCGCTCGTTATCCAGGATTTCTTGTCATTCCGCTTGGTAATACCCAACACCCTCTTCCCCAGCGCCAGTCATCCCATCGACCTGCCCTTATCGCCCTTACAACCCCACTTCTCCAAGCGGGTCAGATCCGCGTCCATTCGACTGCCGACGGAGATTCCTCCTTCGGGCCTCACTCGGATTCCCTTCCCGGCGACCCCATCCCACCATCCATCGGTCCTACCCGTCCGCTTTCCCCCCATCCGACGCCCCGCCCGGCCGTCCGAGAAAATGTCGGATACACAAGAGAGCCCCAGCGTCGAGGATCTGACACCAGAGGAGGCAAATCGCATCATCCATTCGCATCGCAAAGTGCGCTACGGTATGTGGATCTTCCTCGTTCCCGAATACCCCGAAGCCCCGCTAGGCGGCCAGACCCCCGGGACCAAGTGGATTGCCATCCGAGTTATCTCAGATATTGTTATCGGTGCTCCTGGTCCCCAGGGCTGGCCTGTCGGCCTGCGCCGCCGCCCAATTGGTGATAGGAATGGGTTACTCAGACTGCATCGCCGTGACAGGTACCGCGTGCTGGCCGTGCCGCCAGCGGAAAGTCAAGTGCGACAACAAGAGTCCGTGTGAGAACTGCATCAAGAGGGAGCACCCACAGCTCTGCTCCTACAAACCCAACAGGTCGGCCACCGGGAAGAGCATATCGAACGCGTCGGAACACCCCGCGGCAGGGAAGAAGAGGGCGCGCTCGCCGGACGAGCCAGAGTCACGGAGCCAGAGCAACGAGGCCCGGGAGGCCATAAGCGCGTACGGTGAGTGATTTTGCGCATCCGGAACATTCAGCCGTGGCCGTGTCTCACCCGCCATGTGCTCCCCGTACAGAACCCGACACCACCGAGACGACGCGTTATGTGGGCCAGAACAGCATACCAGCCCTTCTTCGAGAACAAACCTCCGCCAACGAGCCCCAGGAGGTCAGCGGGATCCGCCAAGACATGCGCTCCCTACTCGGCCTGGACAACTCGGCGCCCTTCCCGCTGATGTCCTCGCGCCATCTCGACAGGTTGACCTTGGACATTTCATCCGAACTGCCGTCCGACCGGGAGGTGATGAAGTAGGTGTTGTTTGATTCTAGGAGAAACAACTTAAACGAGGAGAGGGGGCTGACAGGGCTCTAGGCTATTCCGGACATACAAGGAAATTCCGCAACCGTTCTGGGGCTTCGTCATCGACATCGACGATCTTGAATCCCGCCTCATGGTCTACCTCGAGGACCGAGCCAAGAATGCCAGGTCGTCAACCAAATCCACAAAGGCGGTATCGGCCTCATGGTTGTCGATACTATTCGCCGTCCTTGCCGTCGGCTCTCAGTACCACGACTCCCCTTACCATGTGCGGACGAGGGACTCGCAAAAATACATTCAGATATCGTTCCACTTCTTGAGGATTGGCAACTTTCTACTAAGGTATGCACGCCCCATGTGATTACCGTTTTGTTATTCACTGACCGCACAGGCCGAATCTGGACTCCATACAAGCCCTACTCATGACCAGCTTCGTGCTGCTCAACGACATGAAAGCCGAAGCCTCGTGGGCGCTCCTCGGCCTCACCTGCCGGCTTGCCCAATCGCTCGGCCTGCACCGGGCCCAACCACTGGATGGGCGGCAGACCCCAGATGCTGCGCGAAAGGAGGTAGCCAGGAGAAAGCTATGGTAACCCGCCCAGATCCAAACGAGCTTCTACCCGGATGCTGATATGTCTAGGTGGACATGCCTTTGGCACGATACGCTCACTTCGTTGTCTTTTGACCGGTAAGGCCCCTCGCTCAGCACACTTGATCGATGCCCTAACATTCGCCAGCTCTCCGATGACAAACATCCCCTGCTGCCCAATACCGATGTCCCCTAGCGCGAACACCGAGGGATGGGCGTACCTCGAAGCTATGTTCAACCTATGCCAGATCATCTCCCAAAGGTTAAATCCCGATACCATCGCAGGCGCCACCTACGCCGAGATCCTCGACAATTGTGAGGCGGTTGAGAACATCCGCAGCAAGCTGTCGATTCATCTGCGTAGCAAGGAGGCGTGTAAGTCGGCCATGGATAGACTCCAACACTTCGCCATCCGGCTGCACACATCATTCATGATATCGGTGTGCTGTCGGCCTGCCTTGATACGACGAGACAGCAACCATCTCGATGCGGCGCAGAAGCAGTTTCTCGCGGACAGGTGCAAGGCGAACCTGACCGAGACGGTGCGCATGTTCCTCGCGATGCACCAGCTGTCCGTAATACCGACCCGCTCCTGGGCATTCACCTACCACGGCCTGTCGTCGGCCGTTCTCTTGGGAATTTTGGGCGAGACTAAAGCGGATGCCGAGGTCCGACAGCTCCAAGGAGACCTCATATCCGCCCTCTCGGCGACGGCGGCCAAGGAGCAAACCTCGCCCCATCCCAATATTCGCAAATCGGACCTTGACATCGAGCTGTCCGGTCCGTTGTCGCGAGCCCTCGCGGCGCTCAAGAACATTTATGATCACGGGTCTGTCGTAGGCCCTCAAGTCAAAAGGGAGAGGAGCATTTCTGGCACGGCGTCGGGCACACGCACACCACTGCCGCACATACCGCCGGCCGGACTCCTCACTAGCGGCAGCATGATACATGACCCGCGATCGGTGCCTGTGAGCCTAGATCCACACCAACACGCGGCGCTGGCCATGACTGAGCTACAGCAGCAGAGCGGCGGCTCGGTGGCTGACTTTTCCGCTGGGTACGCCTTACAGTCGATGGATTCACCCACTACTGCTAACGAACCATATAGCATTCCCTTTTCCCAGATGCCCCCTAGCTCTAGTGCGCAGCAACTCCCCGAAATGGCATTCGATCCAGCGAGCTACATGTCACCGATGGATCTGTATGATTCCATCTTTTGGGGTGAGTTCTGTGACTATTCCTATCAGTGCCCTGGCTGACATTCTGAGAATCTCCCGACCCGTTCAATACCGGGCTAGACTCGATGAACTTTGACTTCCTGGCCCATCCACCACCAGGCCAACCGCCCCAGCAACAATTCTATTTCTAACGGATACCTCAATAGGGGCGACCTGACTAATAATTATCACTCAAGACAATATGTACTTATATGCGGAGCTTTAAATCTATGGCTCACCCAACATTGTGTCCTATCTGAGTAGATATAACGCGAGCACTGGAACTCAGGCTGGTTGTGAACTTGTGGGTGTGGTCAAGTAGCGATCGGCTGATTGTAATGATGTCCCCCCGCTGATCAGATGGTATGCCCCTGGCAATTCATGTTCACATTCACCAAGAGGGCCGTTTCCATTATAGTAGATCTTTGTCAGTACTCTCAAGCAGGGATACTACCTACCCTACGACCCCATTGTGCATTCCGTGTGGACAATACTCTTGTTCTCAGGCTTACCATTGTCGACTTAACCGTTGCAGCCAACTTGGAAAGCGTATATCAATCTTGTCTGTTTTTGATCTCCCCACCATTCAAGGTGCCCGTTCACAATTATCGCTACGGGAACGTATGCCCCGTGAAGATGCCGTCGGCTCATCCTCGCCCACGGGTTAAGCTCCCTGCCCTCCGGCCCAACCCGGATGATTCGAGCACCAACGACACCAGCAACACCAACGACAAATCCCCAGCCAACCAGAATGGAGCCAACCAGAAGAAGTGACGTAAATACAAAGATAGCAGCACCTACATGATCAAAAATGAAGCCAAGAATCTTGTCGCTACTCTCCCACGTCCCTTTAGCAAGTTGACCGAGTTCGAGCACGTCCCACTCTTCGACATTGAGTCCTTTGTCAACCGGTCCGTCAAAACCCGGCAAATGGAAGCCAAAAGTCGCCGGTCGAAAATCCCGCGGCCTATGAACGGCTTTTTGCTCTACCGCAAATGTTACCTGGGACGCGCCAGGGCCTTTTGCAAAAGGCTCTCTGTGAACCAGCAAAGTTACTCTTCTGTTCTCGGGGCGAGTTGGAACCTGGAGACAAAGGAAGTTCGGGAGAGATTTTTTACCTTGTCACGCTCTGAGAAGCAGATGCATCAGGAAGCTTTCCCTCAGTGGAGGTACCGTCTGGAAAGGCGGAAGCAGGCGATTTGGGAAGACGGACACTGGGTATGCCCCCCGGCCTGGGCCCTCAAGTCCGTTGTCCAACACGGAAAGGAACATATGCCCACTTCCTATGGCCCAGTCGTTAGGGAGAACAACTCCAGCCCTGGGCGGGACGTGCCAGTGTCCCAAATGCACGAGCCCCAGTCCCCGCCGACAGTCCACCCTGAGCATGATGATGAGCCACATGCGGATGCGCCTCCCCAACCCGCTACTTTTCCTCCTGACAACGCCCCAAACAGGGACCCCCTCACAGATGCTACCACCAGAGTCCAATCTGGGCATGGTGGCGAGGTGGATGCGGATGCACACCCCCTCCCGGCTACGTGTACTTCTCCTCCTAGCAACGCCCCAAACTTGGACCACCTCACAGATGCTACCACCAGCATCGGTGACATTGATCTTGCGCTGTTATTCCCCGAACTAGCAAACAATGACCCGAAACTCGATGAGTATTTGACCTTCCTCCTTACATCAGAGGCGTCCCCACCAGATTGGCTGGGGGAGCTGGAGAGACTCTCGCCGCTTGTCACGCTAGTTTGAGGGTCTGGCGTCTTGCCTGTGTGGGAACGGAGATTAGGGCTGGGATAAATGACTGACCTATCTGTTCCGTGGTTTTAGATTGGTATGAGTAGCTCCTTGAGCTACTTAAAGGTGGGTTAAAGGAACACCGAAGGTGAGGATCAGGTAAACTCCTGGCCTGAGGTAAGTGAGGGATGGGGTCTTCAGTGTTTGGAGAATGTTATCGAATGTGTTGGAATAAGGAAAGAGAAGGTATCGCCGTACCGTAGAAAAGGTCTCCCCGTACCGTGGTACAAAGGGTAATCTCCACTTTTTCCCGCGCTAGTCTGGAACAGGAAGGCGGTGAGACCGGATTTCATCTGGTCGGGCTCCGGTCGCAACGGTCAATTGAACAAGGTGCCCTGAACCGTTCCAAACCACTGGAATCGATCAATTTTGCAGTATATTCGCTCGAGCAATTGAATCCGGTCGATACCGAACCTGTATGCCATGCTCTGATTGGCTGAAGCTATCTAATCTGCCTCCTGATCGACTCCCTGAGCCTCGTGCGTGCTGTGGTCTAAGCCCTGAGCCTCTAAGGCACTTGCCAGGCGAGCCCTGGTGGCACGGCTACCTCTGGTGGTCTTCGTGATGCCCCCGCGCCGTGATCCTGGTGTTGATGCCCTTGCGCGCGCCGTTCCGCGCCGTGGTGCGCGCTGGGCCACAGCGGAAGCGCTGGGAGGCGTTAAGGATGGTGCTCCAGCAGTACTGCTAGCTCTGCTGCCACCCCTGCCTCCTCTAGAGCCTTTACCCCTGACACGACGGCCTCGAGTACTTCCAGTGGCCACCACGATGGTGCTTCGCTGGGAGGGGGTTGCTGAAGGCTCCCTATCGTCGTTGTCGAAATTCACACGCTCCTACTGTGATGGTTCTCTTCGAATCGAGGGCGCTAGGCCGGACTGGCGCTGCGTTGACTGCTGAGGGAGCTGCGTAGCCAGCGGAGCAGTAGATCGAGGCGCCGATGGATCAGGGGCAAAGACCTCGGTGTTGCGCGGCCAGGTCGTCGAAGTGCTCGAGGTCATCTTCGTACGGCGCCATGGTTCCTGCGCAAATCGTCAGTTTCGGCGGAGATCTACGGCGTTCGAAAGCGTTTACTCACGCGATTCTAGAGTAGTAGCTGCTGGATCGCTGCAATTCCCGGCGGTGGTGCGCAATTGGTTCGAAGATTTGGTGTTGTGAGTGATTGTTGAAGAAACTTGGGAAAATGACGTCATCGCGGCAGAATTAATGTGGGTTGCCTGCGCGATGTCCCTTTTCTGGCGGAAATTGGCCGGGGTTAGGGTTATGTATGGGAGAACGTGTGGGTCTACGGTACGGGAGGACCTTTCCTACGGTACGGCGATACCTTCTCTAAAGAAATACACTCTTTTTCTTAATCGGTATGGTATATTGCTAGACAATTAGCAGCATAATGTTTAACATTGACTGGAAGCGTAGTTGCTACTTCACAATGGTTAGTTACTACATAGGTAGGTACAAACCTCCGGGCCTAACCCTGAACTCCTGTGCTATTACTATCACTACAAATCAAGTCCCGGACCAAGATTCATGAATTTCGAGCAAGCTCCAGACCCCAAAGCTGATAAACCTCTCTGATTGCACGTTCTGCTCAAACCAGGGGCGGTGACGCTCAGCCCAGGGTCGCGAAACTGCGGAGGTGCAACTAGGCGGGCTACGCCGCGGACAAGCTTCACTCATATTGATCTAGACCTATTCTATCCTCTAGTGGTCTTATCCCATGTCCCAATGGCCAGAATGCAGCCTGCACCAATGCTAATAGTCCATCGGTGCAAAAGTTCACCGCATTACCTACTAGTCCGTCAGCACAAAAGTCCATCACAGCAATAGGGCCAAAAGTCCATCCCCTTCACTGGACGCCAAACAGCCCCGCCGCTCTAATATTCGGACATGCTGGCGTCGCGGCTAGACGCCTCCGGTTTAGTTATCGGCACAGGGCGTTTCTCGATTTCCCGCACGTCTTTTGGCTGCTTTCGTTGAAGTCAATGTCTATTGTCTATAAAACGCCCCCTTCACCCTCCGTCTTTGATGTGTCAAACCCATCCTCACTCCCATCACATCACAATCATCACAATTCCCCTCCGTCCTCTTGAATTATTCAACCGCCATGCTTCTCAAGCCAGTGCTCGCCCTTGCTTCCCTGGTTACCCTAGTCGTGGCAGCTCCTGCCACCGAGCCAGACACCGGTCTCAGCCAACGTGAGGCACTGGAGCCGTTTACCCTGGCCGAGTCCAGTGACACTCTAAAAGCTCGCGATCTCACAAAACGAGACGCCATCAACATCAGCATGTTTGGTGGCAATGGCTGCACCGGCCAAGTTCATGGAATCTCTCAGATCGGGGGCGCACCGACATGCTACCCAGTTCCGGCTAGCAAGCGATCCATCCACACTTGGGGAGAGTAGGTCTTGCAATCCTCATTCCTTTCTGGTGTTAAAGCCGCTGAGACTGACGCTTCATCCTTGGGCAGTTGCATTGTTCGAACCTGGAGCGGTACCAATTGTCAGGGTTCCTCCCAGCCCATCGCTGCCACGCAGTGCTGGGATTATTTGTATGGTTCCGTGTCCGTGGTGTGCTTGTAACGGATTCATAGGCTCCGTGCAGCTATGCTAGGGATGGTCACAAAGACGAGGAAGGTTCCTCTCGCTGCGTTGGGGAAGGCAATCACAGCTCGACAAGTGTTGCGTGGAGTGATGGAGGCGTTTCGTAGATAAGGTAGAGATGTATCAAGCTCTACCACAGATACCCGAGACTGTGCCTATCTTGCACACTGTATTATCAGCACAGCCTATCCGTGCTCCCAAGGGTAGCACAGCTGTCCATGTATCTAGGGGCACCTACCTCACTCACTACTTGGTCCGGCTTTGCGCTTTTTGTGCTCTCTCAAACAACGATAGCTTTTTGTCTTCGCTGTTGCTCAAATGTCCCAGCTTTTATTTGTACCTGGGTGCTCAGCCGTGCAGTGGGACCAGTGATTTGGTGTCCTTCCCGTCATCCCTTGGCTTTCGAACGACAACACTCCCATGGCCCACCGGTTGCAGGTGCGACTAGGCAACTATGCTCCTTCTTCCTGACAACACTACGAGATAGAATGCCACGTACGCGAAGCCAGCTAAAGTAGGGCCCGCACCATACACTTGGAGGTCCCCTAGAACCAGAACATCTACGTTAAACGCTTTGTTATCAGCCCTTAAATGAAGCTCTTCGCATTCCTTAGCCTTCTTAGGCTCTGCGTATCCATTCCCAGCCCCCCCATAATGACTGCTCCCCACCGCTTTCCTGGGAATGAGTGTAAGCATCTTCTAACCCCTGCGTTGCCCGGAAGCGTTCCAGCTTCTGCTTTTGCCTAGGTATGCTCATATCAACTGCCAGCTCTCGTGTTGTCATCTTGGTTTGACAAATACCATGACTACCAAGCCCATATTGAGTTCCTCCACAGCCTCTCGAAACTACATCGCCCAAGGTCAAGAGTCTTCACAGCCGGAAAGTCCTTTGAAAAGAGAAATATCTAGGGCATTCACCTCTTTGGGAAATCGGGCCCTGGCATCAATCCTGCCGTCGTCTTCTTCGGCACGATGCATGCGCGGGAATGGATCAGTAGCATGGTCAATGAGTACATCGCGTACAATATTCTACACCTTTACGACCTCAACAGGGATACTAAACATGCGCTTGACAAATTCGACTTTTACATCTTTCCTGTGGTCAACCCCGATGGTATGTTTCCAGGCCTTCTCCCCTCACACCACTAACACAACCCAGGCTTCGTCCACAGCCAAACCGTGAACCGCATGTGGCGCAAGAACCGACAGACACAACCGGGTAGTCCTTGTGTCGGTCGGGATCTCAACCGGAACTGGGACGCGCACTGGAACAGCACAGGAGGTGCCGCGACCCGGCCCTGCCGGAGCACCTACCGTGGCGAGAAGCCCCTCGACGCGCCCGAGACGAGGGCGTTGGCGAAAGAGCTGGAAGCCATCCAAGCCCGACAAGGCATCAGACTGTTTATAGACTGGCACGCCTTCGGACAGCTGGTCATGTACCGTAAGTACCTACCCACTCCACACCACCCCCTTCCCAAACCCTCCCACTCCATTAACACACAAACACACAAGCACGCAGACACACAGACACTAACCAACCCCATCTCACAGCCTACAGCCACACCTGCACGACGCACCTCCCGCCCTTCTCCACCACACGCTGGCTCGGCCACGAGCTGGCCGCCGCCATGAGCGCCACCCACGGCACCCGCTACCGGGCCGGGGCGGCGTGCGAGCTGCTGGCGTACCGGGCGTCGGGCGACAGCGCCGACTGGGCGCTCGACGTGCTGGGCGCCGACCACGCCTACACGGTGGAGCTGCGCCCGGGCCTGCGCGGCCGCACGGGGGCGGCGGCGGCGGGGTTTCGGCTGCCGGAGAGGGAGATCAGGGGGGTGGGGGAGGAGGCGTGGGATGGGGTGAGGAGGGTGATGGGGTTTGTGCTTCGTTAGGGGGTGTTGGGTGTTAAGAGAGGGGAGGGGGTCTGTTAATGGAGTGGGGGTATTAGATGCTCGAGCATAAGGGGTTAGGTTGCGGGCTACTAGGTCTAAATGAGGCTATTAAGCTGGGCATTAGGTTGCCATTCTTTTCAGCCATCTGCTTCACTCGGCCCCTCATTCTTCAAATTAGACCCGTGCTTTCATCGTCCAAAGGGGAGTAGAGTAGTTGGTTGAAACGCTCGGGGGGAAGGCACGACAATATAAATAATAACACCGAAATGCTCAGGACGTAAACTACTCTGCAAGTTTTGTCCCCCTCACCCAGATGCCTGCACGCAGCGCGACGCCGTTCCCAATCTCAAAGTCCTTCTCCAACTTCAAGCCTTCGACCCCGAGCACCTCCTCGAGCGCCACCTCGACCGACCCGGTCTCACTCTCCGCGTCCATCATGGTGATCTTGACGGGCGAGCCACCGCTAACCATGCCCGCCTTGACCGGGAACTGGAAGGCCTGGTCAAACGACGGGTTCTCGATATCCGCGCCTGGCGCATCCGTCTTGATGCCGGTCCTAAACACCTGACCGGCCCACTCGACCTTGACGCTCGGCTTCAGCTCCTCGCGCCGGCCCGTGATCCCCCGGGCGGACGCCACCAGCACACTAACCAGCCCAAGCACCCCAGACTCCGTCCCCGACAAGCTGGCAGGGTCGGCCACAAAATTGTGAAACTTGCCGCTGAGCGTCAGCTTCCCGTCCGTCTCCTGCTCCTTGTGCACTAGCTTCAGCTCCTGCCGCCCGCCGGCAAGGAGCAGCTGCTTGATGGAGGTCGCCGCGAGGCCGATGTCGTCGTCGCTCGCGGTGTCGTCGTCCTTGACGTCCACCTCGATGGCCTGGTCGTGGTCGGCAACCAAAAAGTCCTGCGTCTCGTTCCACTCCGGGTGGCGGTTGTTGTTGACCGTCTTGGTGCGCCAGGCGGGGCCGCCTGCGACGTTGACGTCGACGAAGCAGTCCGGCACGTCGTGGACCAGCTTCTTGAGGAAGTTGCGCGTTTGGCCGAGCTCCTCGCCAAAGTTGGAGCCCGACTCGATTGTCAGCCGCAGCACACCGATCGGGTGCTGGTAGGTCTTGAAGAAGTCGTTGGCCGGGTCGAGCTTGACCAGGAAGCGGTTGGGGAGGACGGCCATGGACGAGATGATGCTTAGGACGACATTGCGCAGGGCGTTGTCGATGAGACCTAGGCTTGCAACGCTGGCGGCGTCGGTGTAGGTCATTTTGAGCGAGGGCTTGTTGATGAAGGCTATTTGGAGGGCGCCGACCTGGGGTCTGTTAATGGGTGCTGGGACCAGGGGCGAGAGGTTGAGATGGCGACTCACACAAGGGAGGACATTGGTCAAGGGACACAACAGAACTGACAGCCGCCCGCGAAGCTTAACGTGCTCGACTCCCTAGCGTAGAATTAGTATGGAATCAGGGAATCATTGGTGGTACCCCGAGTGAATCACGGCTCACAATCTTGGGCACCATGTTCCCATCCAGCTCAATATCACAAACACCATCCCAGAGGAGGTCCAGATCTAGCTTAATGCCGTCGCTATCGGCCTTGTGGACGTCGATATTCTCGACGTGAATGGGGACATGTCCCAGATCGATCTTCAGGAACCGCAGCGAGTTCAGGGGGGCGGGCAGCATCGTTGCAAACATGGGCTCGGCGATCCCCTTGATGGTGCGAGCAACAGCGACAGCCATGTTTGGCCATAGCTGTTTGATGAGGTCGTTTACAAAGCCTATTCACTCCTGTCAGGTACCCCTTACTGTCGAATTTACTTCAGGCGGGGAAAGGGGGGGCGGGTTGACCTGGTGACTCGGCGCCGCCCGAGGCGGTCAGGGTTTCGACGAGTGAAGACATGTTGAGAATATTTCGGGTTTGGTCGAGTAGGTACTTCCAAATCCAGAGTCCAAAGTCCCGGCTCGTAGTTCCGTCAAGAATCTCTGAATCTACAATCAAATTGACGCAAGTTCTGGCAACCCTCCGGAAACCTGCCACCACGCAGCGGGGTTTTAAAGCCCAATCTCTCTTGGCATCTCGCGGCAAGTGATGTCATCCCTGAAGCTTAGTACGCAGTAGTACAAGTACCTAAAGTATGCATGGTGGCCCGACGAGGGCAATTCAACCTATCATCCTACTCGGGCGTGGGACAACCTCAGCTCAGTCCCGTTTGCCTTTGACAGGTGTAATATCAACTGGTTGACCCGCAAAAGCCATACGAGCTCTGTGTACCAATCAGGGACAAGAGAACAGACAGGTGCGCGTGATGCTAATAAACAAACGGGAGTGGCGGGCACCGGTACCACCACCCGTTCAACCTTGGGTCCTGTGTTGGGTTGCTGAAATGTCATAAGCTCTACCTCCTTAGGTCGAACACCCACATACACTACAAGAACAGCAAACATCATTAAACCGTTCCTACATCCTACAAAAAGTAAAAGACCCCACACTGAGAACGTTACGATCCTCAACAAAGGTAAGCGAGTTCCCGTAAGATACTAGGAGCACCCACAATGCATGAGGTATGGGGATACGTCAAGCTCCTTTTTTTTACTAGCTTGTTACTAGCTTGAGATACTCACAGCAGGCCAAGGAGTTCCTGAATTGGAATGTATGTATCTCTTAGCTGCATTTGTGAATAGTTGATAAGGAGATGCGGGCTCGCCGATTCCCACAGCGACTTGCTACAGCTGGTGCCCACACCAGCAAATCTTCCGTAGTATAGTGGTCAGTATGTGAGCTTGTCACCATCGACATCGCTCGAGACCCGGGTTCAATTCCCGGCGGGAGAGATCTTTTTGTGCTTGGCTTCGAATCACGCCCTTGCATCTTTTTTTTCACTTCGGTCTGCAGGTCGGGCAGCCCCTCCGCTCTGCGGTTGTTCTCGGCTTCGCCACTCTTAAATTCCAGGCTCCTATCGGCCATCGGCGACCAGCGGGCACCCCGGTGGCGGGGTCAGGGGACTCACCCCATCTGAGCTCGGTAGTCGGGAACCTACCTGCTTTTTAGGTGCAGGTCGGCCGCTTGATACCGCTGGGGCTGCGGAGAGACCTTCCTGTTTAGGGGCTCTCGCAACGCCGCAACTCCATCGCCAAGTAAAATTTCAGGCCATTTTCTCGACCGAAATTCAAAGTCGAGACACGCCTTGAAGACTCAGAAATTCCTATTCTCACATTCTCACCAATTCCACAAACCTTCATAACGCGTTCACTGAACCGAACACCCAACCCCCCAATCGCGAAGTCACAGTCTAGAGCATCCGCAGTCAGCATGTTGGCGCAAGAACTGTCGATGGACCTCCCGGTCATCGATCTGGATGTCTTTCTCAACCAACCCCGCGACTCGTCAGCGGTGCAGGCCGAGTGTGTCAAGGCGGCCGAGGCTCTCATAACGTACGGCGCGTTGGTGCTGCACGACTCGCGCGTGGCGGACCAGGACAATGAGACCTTTCTGGATCTGCTCGAGGACTACTTTGCGCAGCCCGAGGCGGACCTCCGAAAGGACGAGCGGCCCGAACTAGCATACCAAATCGGAGTAACGCTCGAGAACACTGAGAAGCCCAAGTGCGCCGTCGACGAACCGTGCCTTCAGGTCATCGAGCGGCTGGCCCCCTCGGAGCGCCCGCTCGACATTTCGGCTCACTCGCCGGACCCCAAGTGCCGCTTCTTCTGGCGCATGGTTGAGTCGCCGCCGTACACTTCTAAGTTCCCGACGCTCAACGCGGACAACATCATCCCGGACGCGCCACACATCAGGGAGCGCTGGGAACCGACCATGAATCAGTGGGGGACGTCGATGAAGAATGCGTGGGTGAACCATGACTAACCACTCGTGAATGTGGGCGCCGGAGATAGATGCTAACAAATAACAGCGTTGAAGACCTCACCCAGATGACCGCCGTCGGCCTGGGCCTCGAGGCAGACACATTCAAAGAGGCTGGCCGATACGGGTAGGTCCACCCACCTGCAGCCCCCCTTTCTCTCATAACCACCCAAACTCCTAACCCCTTATCAGCTCCCACCTCCTCGCGCCCACCGCCTCCGACCTAGCCAAGTACGGACAAGTGGACACGATCCTAGCCGGCTTCCACACGGACCTCAACTTCCTGACCATCCACGGCCGCTCACGCTACCCCGGCCTGCACATCTGGGCGCGCAACACGGGCAAGCGCATCCCCGTCAAGATCCCCGCCGGCGGCAACTACCTGCTGGTTCAGGCGGGCAAGCAGCTGGAGCACGCGACGGGCGGGCTGGTCAAGGCCGGGTACCACGAGGTGGTGGTCAATGACGCCACCGTGCGCGCCATCGAGGACCGCCGCGCCCGCCTGCCCGACCGGCCCCTGGTGCGCATCTCGTCCACCTTCTTTTGGCATCTGGCGTCCGACCATGATTTGGTACCCATTCCGGCCCTGGCCGAGAAGGCGAGGGCCGTCAGGGCCCAGCAGTTTGATTTGGGCAAGGATGAGGGCGAGGAGGTCCAGTATCCGCCGATGAAGGTCGGCGAGCAGGTGCAGAGGTAGGTTTTTCCTGGGTTCTTGGTGCCTTGGGTGGCTTCGAAGCTGACATATGTGGTTGTAGTGAGCTCAAGCACATCGCCCTCATGGCAACTAGCTGAGGCACTCAACGCCCTCTGCCCATAAGTATACGGCGTTTGCGTCACGTTGGGCTTAGCTTGCAATTTGCTAGCAGATGGGTGTATGGGTGACATGGCAATGTTCGTAACGGTCTGCATAACCATGACCGGCATACTTGGATACTTGACAAGAACGAGTAGTTTCTATAATACCAAGTAAATGAAATTCATTTGGTCTTTCACCTTGATTCAATCACTAAACTCGAGTCCTAGCTATGCCTGGAGGAACTCCAGGTTCCTTAGGTCAAAAATGCCATGGCCTGCTATAAGCACGGACCAGTTTTTACTCTATAAAAAACTCAAAAAACGATGTCATTTCTAACCTGTACTGTCTGTCGACTTCTCACTGTAGAGTTTTGGCTTTTTCTCCTTTCGATTTCTCTCGATGGCATCTCGATGTCTGGCGTCATCTGCATTCTGCTTCCTTGAATCAGCATCTCGCAGTTGGTCTTGGCGGTGGAGGTGCACGGACCGTTGTTGCTCTGTTCTGGCCAATCAAAATCGCCGGAAAAAAAGCCGCTTACCCGCACTTGGCGTCAGGGCCCTGTGGCTCGCTGCTTCGCTCCTGCTTTTGCATGCCTCTGTCGCGCATTCCTTGACAATCACGAACACGAACAAAAAAATCGGATTTCTGTCAAAAGGTGGCGAAAGATGAGGTTTTTTACTACTACTAGAGCGACGCACCCGCTTCTTCGTCAGCAGCTTCAGTCTGCGCTGATTCGGCCATGACGTCCCATTCCTAGAACCACGACTACAGAGAACAACGTCAACATTGCCAAGATTGCCTGGCTCAGCAGAAACGATACAAGCAAGGCCTACGGCTCGATGGTCGTCTACGTGACGAAGGGTAGCGAAGCAAATTGCTTCTTTGACGCACAAAATACACGGAACCTATCAGCTCTGTGAGATTACGCCACAGAGGTTAATCTTTACGGGATCTGATTACTGAAGCCCCTAGATGACGATATAGCTTACTGGAGACTCAAGAATGCGGCGTCATACATCGGCGATGAGGTCAAACCGGTGCTTGAGGCCACCTTTTTTACACCGCGGTGCTCCATTTTCCCAATCCAAGGAACTCGATACGTTCTTTCCATCCCGATTTTCTGACCTAAACTACAGTCATCTCCTGATACTGTTTATAATTCCATTGCAGTCAAGATGGCTTCTTCTTCCGCCTTTAACAATTACATCGTTGACTCCGCTATGGGGCCTACCTGCAGCCGGCAAGTTCCTCCAGGCTCCTTTGGCGTGCCCGCGCGCAGCGGGCACGGTCACTCCTGTGAACACCAAAGCATACTACTAACTAGCCGTTTATAGATTCTAGCTTGGGCCCCTGCTTCCAACCAACCAAGTGCTACAGCGAGTGTCCACACTTGCCAATCTTCCGTAGTATAGTGGTCAGTATGTGAGCTTGTCATCACCGACTTCGCTCGAGACCCGGGTTCAATTCCCGGCGGGAGAGTTTCTTTTTCGTCCCACAGCCCTGATAACCTCACTTGCTGAGAACCTTCCTTTTTCACCTTCTGAAATGTGGCTGGGGTTATTGGTCTGGGGCTTAAGGGGAGCCAGATAATAACTAAAGGTGTGCGACTGCCTTGGTTACCTAGTTACCATGGCTTCAAGACAAGCACGGGATTGAACGATGAAGAACCCTTGAACTGTCTTTGCCGAAGGGATCATTGGCTATGGTTCGGCGAGCTGGAGACTTCATACTTGACGAGTGCGGTAGGTCGGGGACTGCCCACGCGACATACCTGCGAATATACCCCCCAACCCATCGGCTGAACCTGGAAACTGCGGGAGCAAGGACGAGCAAAGTCTTATTAAGAAGGTAGAGACGGCAAACAAGCCGGCGATATAACAGCTATAGCCACAAAGCAAGGGGTGGACGGTCCTATCAGATGAACATCTTCCCCGCATCGCTGTGTTATTTGGCTTCGAGCCCAAGGGGAAACGTAGGACTGGCACTTGCATCGCAGCCCAACATATGGTTTTTGCCCACCAGATAGACAAGACTTTGCGTTGCCTAGGGCCTCGTGGCGCGGGATACCAACTGTAGCGCGGCCCAGGAGGGAAAGGACGACATGCCGTACAGGTTGGTGGGTAGTCGGGTGTGGTTCATGCTGTAGGAGCAGAATACGAAAATCGGCGTTTGGTGTTGGAACAGAATCAGGAAGACATTACAAACTCACCAGCACATCAAGCCTCACATACCTCAGAGACGAAGTCTTACGCTAAAAAGGGGGGTGGCCTTTACACACCTGCTTCATTACTTCTGTTTCGGCCATTCTGCTGGTCTCGTGATGAGGTACGGATCGTTGTGTCTCTCCATTACACACTGCATGTTCGTTTCTGATTGAGTGAAGTTGGTGAGTCCGTTGTACACCAACGCTTACGGCTTACGGCTCGCGCCCTCGGCGGCGCTGTGGCGGATCTGTGAAACAACGAGCGAGCTCGAAACGGCGCGGGACCCGTGGGGCCGCGAGCGGCATCGGCGATGTGGGTCCGCCGTGGCAATGTCCGGCAAGACGGCCCACTGGTTGGAGATCTGCTGCGTTGCTGCTCTGCTCACCGCACCGGGGGAATGTACGTGGAATGGCCCTAAGCGAAACGTCAAGATACGGTGACGGTTGTTGGCGCGACGTGTCGTTCTTCAGTTTGTGGCTGGGATGCGTCGGATCCCGTTCGACGAGGTTGCAACTCGTAGTCGCACTCGCACCGCAGGCTTGGTTCGATCTTGCGTTGCGCTCTGTGGGACCGGGGCACGGTGAGGCCTTGTGCTCTTGTGCTCCCCAACGTGACGCTGTCTCTGTGGCTGAAAGTTCATAAAAACGGCAACCCATCGAGACTCTGGTTTTCCAGCGGCGCGGGGGGTTGCAGAAAAGCAGCGAGCCCGGGGCTCGCAGTGACAGCGCGGTGAGGCCGACCTCTTTGGGGTAACGGGCACGCGGGGTACCTCTGCGACCAGCAGTGTGTGGCTGACTGCGGGACACACCCGAGAAAACAAGATCGTCCCGGGCGTTGCGGCAGTGTCGCATTGAACCCTGATCGCCCAAGAAGCCCTCCCAAATTCCACTCACACTTTTGCTCGGTGTGGATTGGAGGCTCGCTCGGCGCCGTCGGGTGAAGGAGGCTGCTGATGAATGGATGTTGGGACAGTGCAGGCAGACGCGGCGAGAGGACGCTCGATTCCAGGCTGCCACCCTCCATTTCGGGGCGGGTCGGTGGTTGTCGCCGGAGCCAATCGACACCATCCGTAAGTCACCGCCGTGCCCGATATCGAAACCGGGGGAGGCGTGAGGACACATCGGCTGTCAGAAAATTACAACCGCAGTTTGGATGCGAGAACCTTGGAGATCTGCAATGTTATTAATATCTCGAAAAAAGTGTCCCGGCCTCCCTTAATGGGCAATGCGGCAGTACAGTGAAGACGGCCGACCGCCTGTACCGCCAGCACCACGGCTGGGTCGATGGTAGGTGGGTTGAGGCCTTGAAGACATGGGAGCAAGCCTTCGGGCGTTGTGGCGATTCTCGTCGGGTCATGCATCCCCATCAAAATCTCTTGTCGGCAACTGAGCAAGCGATCCAAGAACGTGGCACGCCTTATCCACCGCCACCGCGACACAGTGTCGAGGATTGGTCGATGAATTAAGGATTGGGTTCAGACTGGAGCCGACAGCGCTGCACGTCTTCAATTTCCAGAGGTTCCTTCGCTACCAGCACTCCAGGTCTCGATGCGGGGCGGCAGAGAAGCGGGTCACTGCATCAAAACCCGAATACCTTCAGCCAGACATTGTGGAGACGAAACGTTCAAGCGGGCAAGCAGACAAAAATCTCGGGATCGGGGAGTGCTGCCCCGGATCAAGTCGTCGTTGGAGAGACACGGCCTCGAACAACATGCCACCACATCGTCGAGAATGCATCGTCTGGGCAATTTGAGAGGGGGAGGGTCGAGCGGTCTGACAAATGAAACCTGAAAGCCTCAACGGCGGTGGTGCACAAGCACGAAGAAAGAGGCTGATAAATGCTCCATTTCAGGGTCTCCAGTTGTTGAGGCGGTGGGGCTGACCTTCCCCCCAATTGTGGGGGTGGGCCGCTGCCGTTTCTGCCTTGACTTGCTGTTGACTGGTGGTCGTTGCTCGCCTCACTCTTCTTACTGGAGAGAAATGTGATCCTAGGGAGCAGCCGCATTCCGTTTTGTGCCGACGAAAGTATGCATCTGCACCAGCCAGCGAGACCAGCACACGACAAATTCAATCTCCGAAGGGATGCTGCACCACGACATGGTCGCTTTCGCGTCAATCTCGACGGCAAAGTTGCGGAGTTGTTGCTTTTTCTGCCTCTTCGCGCCACAGCATGGTGGGCCTGGCCGTGCCTGGTCGGATCCCGGAAAGCATGTTTAGCATGTCGAGAAGTCCAGACAGTGCGGCCCGGATTCCTTCCAACGTTTCGAAACCTGCAGTTCCTTGCATCTTTTCCCATGACCTTACCCCACATACCGCATTCGCCGCAGCGTGGGATGACAACAGTGAGCAGCCGGGGGGATACTGCAACTCCGAGTAAGCATTGCGGTTCCATGGCAGCTCCGGGATGAGTGGTTCGCGAAAATGACCGCCCTGGTGTGCCTATCCGTTACCGATCAAGCACGTATGTACGAAGTACGCATCCCCCGTTCAATGCGGTCCTCGCCTTGGCACGGCCGACGTGCGGCAAAGCTGCGCGTATCCGGCATCAGCTTGGACGAGGCTGGATGAGGTGGCTTACACACGGAATAGGGTCTGGTTGACTTGTCTCTGTGTGTATATACCTCGCCGGGTCCGCAGAGGCGGCGCCCCATCACCGCCTTTCTCTTCCGTCTGAACGAACGACATGTCGATGTGGTCCCGTCTCTGACAGCCACCTCCCATCTCCTCCGTGTTCTTTGTACTGTGAGTGCCACCGATCAGTTCCTGCGTTTCGTCCCGTCTGCCCACCGTCCTTCAACCCCTGTTGGCTTGCTTTATCGGGAACATGCCAGCCGATCGTTTCGAGAACTTATTCTTCCGCCACCGCTCAGACCGAGGCCGGCCTCTCGGGGAGTCCCCAAGTGGTCTGCACCGGCCGACCCTGACCTTTATTGCCTTTTCTTTGTCGGGATATCCTGGGACAGTCCTGCTCACCTTGCCTCCCATCAGATAAATATATTTCGGTCTCCTATTCCGTCCCTTTGCTCGATTTGCTCCCTCCGATCAACGATTCCCTCTGCAGATTCGCTCCTTTCCCCCCCTGTTCGCCTCCCCAACACACTCGCTGGGCACCACACACCGCCCTTTTCTTTGGGACTCGCACCACTCTTTTGGCACCGAGTGTGCTACCGTTGCCCGCCATGCACGGGTACTCGTCGTCGTCAGATTCGGATGATGAATACCACTACCGCAAACACAAGGGGACAGTACCCGCGGCCGCCAACGCGAACGATGCCAACAAGAAGAAGAAGAAGCGCAAGCTGCCGCCCCAGCAGAGCATCAACCGCATCTGGAAGCGCTTCAGCAACAAGCGGTTCAACAAGGCCCTCTCCGTCCTGCCCTTCGACCCGGTTCTACCTCCCATCATCTCCGACCGATCCAACGAGTTGCTAAACGCCGGTTACGAGCGCGCCGCCGAAGAATGCCGGCGCAAGGTCCGAAAGATCATCCAAGAATGTCGGAGAGTGAACACACGGTACCGAGACCCGGGCTGGGATCTGGTAAGTCTTTTGGGGAGTGGCAAGGCCGTGCGGATAGCGGGCGGTGCTGACCCGCCCACAGGACTGGGACCTCAAGATGGAAAAGGGCCATACTCTCAACATCCTCGGCCGGACCAAGTTCGATCTGAGCATGTCGACGCTCATGAACCCGAGCGCCGTCGTGCCAAAGGCGGTCAAGCGTGTCCACGAGATCTACGAGAAGCCGACCTTTCTCGCCAACATCAGCGGCAACGACGTCAAGCAGGGGAGCCTCGGTGACTGCTGGCTGATGGCCAGTCTGTCAGGCCTGTCCAACGTCAAGGATGGCATCAAGCGCATTTGTGTTGAGTACGACACCCGGATCGGCATCTACGGGTTTGTCTTTTATCGAGGTGAGCCAGATTTGAGATTGGTGCACTTGCCTGTGCCGCGCGACTAACAAACCTCAGACGGAGAGTGGATCTACTCAATTATTGACGACAAGCTCTTCCTCAAATCGCCGTGTTGGGACTCACCGAGCATGCAGCGCGATTTGTTGCAGCAGATCGACCGCGAGGACGTTGAGCGTGTGTACCGCAAGACGTACCAGACGGGCTCCAAAGCCCTGTTCTTCGCGCAGTGCAAGGACCAGAACGAGACCTGGGTGCCCCTAATCGAGAAGGCCTACGCCAAGGCTCACGGCGACTATGCGTCCCTGGCCGGCGGCTGGATCGGTGAGGGCCTGGAAGATCTCTCCGGTGGTGTCACGACGGAGCTTCTCGCCTCGGACATCCTGGACCTGGACGGGTTTTGGGATGCCGAGCTCAGCAAGGTCAACCAAGAGTTCTTGTTTGGCTGCAGCACAGGCCTCCTCGACGGTGGCTACGGCGACCGCGACGGCATCGAGGAAGGCCATGCCTACGTCGTCATGGAGGCGCGGACCCTCAAAAGCGGCACCCGCCTCGTCAAACTCAGGAACCCGTGGGGCAAGACCAAGAAGGGCATCTGGGAGGGTGCCTGGTCGGACGGGTCCAAGGAGTGGACGACCGAGGCGCAAGAGGAGCTCGGCCACCAGTTCGGCAGCGACAGCGTCTTCTGGATCTCGTATGAGGATTTGTTGCGGAAGTACCAGCACTTCGACCGCACCCGCCTGTTCCGCGACCCCGACTGGCGCTGCTGTCAGCGGTGGATCGGTGTTGACGTCTCGTGGAAGCCGCAATACCACGAGAAGTTCCACATCAAGCTGACACGCGAAGGGCCACTGGTCATCGTGCTGAGCCAGCTCGACAACAGGTACTTCAAGGGCCTCCATGGCCAGTACTCGTTCCGCCTGCAGTTCCGCATCCACGAGCTGGACCGCCCCGATCCCGAAGACTATGTCGTTCGCAGCCACGGCAACTACCTCATGGACCGATCCGTGTCCATCGAGCTGCCGTCGATGCTCCCCGGCACCTACAGCGTCTTCATCAGCGTGGCCGGCGAGCGCAACACCGACGTGCCCAGCATTGAGGATGTCGTCAAGCGCGAGTGCAAGAAGCGGATCGAGAACGAGAAGCTCGCCCAAGTCGGGTACGCCTACGACCTCGCCCACAGCAAGGGTGCGGCCCATCTCGAGGCGGTCAAGAAGGCGCGCAAGAAGGCCGACCAGAAGAAGGCCAGCAACGCACGCCAGACGGAACGTCACCGCCTCTGGGAGAAGCGGCACCTCAACCGTCAGATCACCAAGAAGCAGGGCCGCAAGAACAACCAGAAACTCGAGGCGAAGCAGGCAGCTCGCGAGGAGAAGAGGCGGAAGGCCGAGGGGCTCAAGCCCAAGGACCAGGGTGTGCAAACCGACGAGATTAAGGAGAAGCCTGCCGAGACCAAGCCGGAAGACAAGAAGGCCGAAGAGAAGGATACCGACAAGACCAAGGAGGAACCCAAGGTAGAAGCCAAGGCCGAGGACAAGTCGGAGGATAAGACAACAGAAGAACAACCCAAAGTTGACTCCGAGCCCAAGAAGGAAGAATCTCAGGCAGACGAGGAGTCGCCCGACGTTACGCCTATTGCCACGCCTCTCGAGACGCCTACCCCAGAGAATGGTTCACAGCTGTCAGAGGCTCCGAAGGAGGCCGAGACTCCACAGGACGTCACCGCCGAGGAGGGCAAGTCCGACGACAAGGCCGAAGAACAGTCTAAATCTGAAAGACAAACCCGAGACAAAGCGAGAATAAGCTAATCTGTCAGACAGGCCGATACAGTCTGAGA